CAGTTTAAAAATTTTAACGGTTTTCAGAAAATCAAGTTTCACGGTAGCATCCCGATCAGTTTTCGCAAAAAAAAATAAGTATTTGTTTAATTATTCAGAAAATTTGCGAAAAATCGCGTACTCTGATGTATTTAAAATAGCGGGGTGTTACATCTAGCGTGTCGTTCCTTGCTTGTGGATTGACAGTTCTGACAGAAGACTCTTCTTCGTCCGCTCTCCTGCTTTGTCTTTCATGGGATTGAGCTTGTTGTTCACGCTCTGGGGGAAGCTGTTCGATTCGGGGCTGCTCGACCCTGGGTTGGTCGATTCTGGGGTGGTCGACTTGCGTCTGTTTGAGTTGGGCCGCTACTGCCTCTGCAATCATCCTCTGCATCTCGCTTCTCGTCACGGTCAGTGTTTGCTCCTCGACTTGGGGTGGCGTCTGTTTGTTTTTTGTTCAAGTCCTCCAGGCTGCCTCCCCAATCTCAAAGATGTTTCGGTCGATGCATGACCATCAACTTATCCGCTCGTGTCTTTCACGTGACTAGCCTCCCCTTGAGTGAGCACTGGGATCTTGAATCCTGGTGGGGTGATAGGTGTCTCCTGCCCCATACGCGCTCCTGACGGCGCGTGTGTTCCGAACGGTGGGAAACCAAACACTTGGAGCGGTGGCCTGGTGTTGGGAATCGGCGGAGGCCGCTTGTCAGTCCACGTTGCCCTGAAATCCTCGTTCAAATTCTTCTGCAGCCCTTCCTTCTCAGCCATCAGAGACAGATCAAAGCTAGGTGTAAAGCTCTTAATTCCTTCAAGAACTTCCCACAGACAACGCCAAAATGATGGGTCTCTTCCTAGATCTAGAACGAACCGATGAAAACGGGCCCAGATCTAGGACGAACCGATGAGAATGGGCTCAGATCTGTCATCGTCACCTTCAAACCGCTACTGGACCGCAAGAAAACCTGCAAGAACTCAACGCCGGAGGGATTTCCGACGTAGAGCCTCCGACGCTCAAGTCAGTATGTGAGAGAGATGAAGAGAGCTGCTCTGAGAGAGCAGCAGTAATGGATGAGAGTATGGAATGAATGGGAGTTGGGGTTACCTCAGCTCCTTTATATAGAAGCAAGACATTTACCTGAAGTTCCCAAAATGCCCTGGCCGACTTACTAGAAATGTCCAAAATACCCTGGTCGGTTCGCATTCTGTCCCTCTCCTAGTCAGCATTTAGATTCCTTCTTATCCTTAGTAGCTTCCTTCTTATCCTTAGTGGCTTCCTTCTTATCCTTGACAGTTTTCCTATGATGTATCGAAGTGTATAGGATTGTCGGGGATCTATGAGCCTCGGGGACTTCCTCAGTCGACTCGGATCTATCAACTCGAGTCGACGGGGTCATCTCCAGTCGTCGGTTGACCCTGATGCGCCTATCCGTCCTTCCGGGAAATCGACTTATTCTAGTCGACACGTAGGAGTCGACCGAGAGGCGCATGGACCCCTAACCGGAGATATTACAGGGAGTCTGCGGAGAGAGTCGATTTTGGCTAAGTCGACTCGGTAATTTCTGAACCGTTGATAGTATAAACCGTTATACGGTAGGATGGCTATATCACTATTCTTCCGAGGTTTTCGACCTATGCATCTTTATTGAAAATAAAGCGAAAAATACCAGAAAAAATATACAGAAACATAAATATTATTTGACTATTACAAATCACACAATAAATGATAAAACTACCATAAAACTTATAAAATGACTCAAAATGAGGATAAACGAATAATAAAATAATAACTAAAAATGTAACAAAAATAGAACAAACAACTCCCCCTCACTTAAACCTTTGTTCGTCCCGAACAAAAATAAGAAGAAAAACTTCAAATTTAAGTATACAATCCTACACAATGGTTAATAACAAGATTAATCTAAAC